TTTTCACCCCTTTGGTTAGCTTTTCCTGTTAGGCTTCCTTGGGAGTAAAAACCCCATGTCATTGTCTTCCTAAGATTGGGCTGTGGCTATGGAAGTTCCCCCTTTTCTGAATTTGTTAGAGGGACATTTATAAAATAACTCAATTAGAAGCAGGGAAAAAAAAAAAACAAACAAACCAAAAACAACCCTGAAGGTGATACTTTCCCCCAGCCCTGTCTGTGTTGTCCTAATACCAACCCGCAGTGTTTCCACTTCACAATAATTCAGGCCACGTCACCTTCCCTTGAGTGGACACAGTAAAGATTTCTTCAGCATCTCGTGCCTGGAGATCTGATGGGATGACCGGGCACTGTGGGTGGTAGTGACTTCTTCCACCCTCATTACTCACCAAGCAGAAATAACTAACCTGTGATTAACTCTTTTAATTCTTGTATTTTCAAGGGTAAGTGGAAGGACTAGTAACCCAGATTATAACCACCAGTGGGTCCCACAACTTTGCCATCACAGCCCTGCTCCTGAGCTGCTTTGACACAGTTCAGTTTCTTACTAGACAGCATGTGCCCTTTGAGAATTACTGTCACTTTGCCTGCTGTTTTGCATGACTGTAGCCTCTGCTATGCCTTTGCATGCAGTGGGCACTCAATAAATACTGAATGAATGCAGCTTAACTGCATTCATTCATCTAGCATTTGGTCTCTGGCGGTAGGGGGTGGAGGTAGGGCTGGGGGTGTCTCAGCTTCCTCTGTGTAAAATGAGAGTATTGGCAAATGACTGCTTACATGTCTTCCAGTGTTCACATCCTCCGAGGCCTTTTGGATAGCCACTTTAAATTACCTTCCATTAGGAAAGCTGTTTCCAAGCAACAGAACAGTACTTCCCTGACTCCTTGCCTGACCTCTTCAGCCCACAAAGATGTTTCTCCATGAGCCTGCAGCATATTATCTGTAATGCATATTTATTTATTACCTTGTGATACAGCTCAGGTTGTGACTGACCTTTTCGTGTGTATGGGTCCTGTCCTTGGGATTATAGGGTAAGCCTCTCAAGCCAGATACTATCTAAAGTATGCTCAGCAAATATTTGTTAAATAAATAAATATTACAACAAGGAATAATCTTCATTCTATCCAGAGGGAATTCTGGGCTTAAGGGAAGCAGCAGAATCCAAGGTGAATCCCAGATCTGTGGCTTGGGAAACCTGGTGTGTGATGAGCCATTCTTCAAGACAGGGCAGGTTTAGTGGAAGGAGGAGAAGAGACGAATTTGGAGATAAGCAGCATTCTCCTTGAAATTCTCAAAAACATTGGCCAAGTAAAGATTCAGAGACATGAGATCCTGGCCAAAGGAATACATTTTATTGTGTTTTGCCCCAAGCTTCCCAAATAATTGCATGTGGTTTTGGAAACACTGGTGTGGGGGCACCTGGGTGGCTCAGTGGCTGAGCATCTGCCTTTGACCCAGGGCATGATCCCAGGGTCCTGGGATGCTGTCCTGCATTGGGTTCCCCCGTGGGAAGCCTGCTTCTCCCTCTGCCTTTGTCTCTGCCTCTCTCTCTGTGTCTCTCATGAATAAATAAATAAAATCTTAATAATAATAATTAAAAAAAAGAAACACTGGTATGGCACAAGAAGAGAAGCAGGGCTAGGAAGGAAGCCTGGAGAACAAGTCACTTTTAAGGAATGGCCAGAGGAATTTGAAGTGAGCATCCAGAGAGGAGGAGGACTTTTGCCTGTGGGGCTTTAATCCTGGCTCAATGCTTCCACTGATAAGGGGAAAACCAGAGTCCCATCTCTTGCCATGGAACAAGGGAGCCCATGGGCCATGACTGGGAATGTGCGGGGTTCTTGGGAAGACAGAGGCACTTCCTGTTTCAGCTCTCCCATCACCCTCTCTTCTCAAAGAAATCACCTCTTTTGCTAAAAGGAAGCTCATATTAACACTCTCAAGTTCAACCCGAGGATAACCACCTACTCTTGTAACTATAATAAATCAGTCCTTAAAGTAGATCTGATATAGATGAAGACAAGATAAACTTTAACAGCATAGAAAAACAAGTGTTCTGAGTCACCCCCCTCACTGTCCATCACCTGAGACTATCCCCACACTTCCCTTTAATGCTTCATTTCAACCTCAAAAGCATCAGTTTGCTTGTTTTTGTAATTCCCTATTTGCACATGGGAAGCTGAGGAGGGGTGAGGAAGATGAGCAGGGGCTATGCCAGGCGCTCATGCTGGTGGGATTGAACAATGGGGTAGCCACTTTGGAAAAGGGTTTAGAAGGTCCTCAAAAAATTAAACACAGAAATACCATGTGACCCAGCAAAGGGCACGGGGCTTCTCTTTTGGAGTGAGGAAAACATTCTAAAATCAAATCCTGATGACAAATATGCAACTCTCTGCATATACTAAAACCTCGGCATCGGACATGTCTAAGGGTGAATTTTATGGTCTATGAATTATGTCTCAATAAAGCTGTAATGTAAAACAAAGAAGAAAATGCAAGGGGGATGAGTATTTTGCTTTCAAGATAAAATTTTCTCTAAGTCATATAAAATTGGTGATTTGTTGTTTGCTACTTCTTTGCTCCTCAAATGCTTTATTACCAGCAGTTTGCCTTCACAGCTGTGTGGCAGCTGAGAGACAGTGTTATCTCCCATTCCTTTTTTCCAGAATAATTCTTCTTTTTTTAAAAAAAGATTTTATTTATTTATTCATGAGACACACATACACACACACACACACACACACACACAGAGGCAGAGACACAGACAGAGGGAGAAGCAGGCTCCATGCAGGGAGCCCAATGCGGAACTCGATCCCGGGTCTCCAGGATCAGGCCCTGGGCTGAAGGCAGCGCTAAACCTCTGAGGCACTCAGGTTGCCCCCAGAATAATTCTTAAAAATTTATTAATTTATTTAAATAATCTCTACACCCCACATGGAGCTCGAACTCACGACCCTGAGATCAAGAGCTGTGTGCTCTTCTGAATAATTCTCGGTGGTAGAATTTATCTATCTTTAATTGAGATTTCTTTTCTACCAGAAGTGCAAATAACAACAATATTGGTTTCTGAAGTATTTGTACCCACAGCTTTGTCTTGACATTTCTACAAAATCATGTAAGACATGTTTGTTTATAAAATTCATCTGCACATTTCTTAGAACACTTTTCCAACAGTCAAGTATGTTGAGGTATAATTTATATTCAGTCAAATTCACCCTTGAAAGGTTTCCAATTCTATGAATTTTGGTGAAGGTTTATAGTCATATAACCACTACCACACTTGAGATATAGACTATTTCCATCACCCTATAGTGTTCCCTCACATCCCTGTGGACTCAACCTCCTCTTCCCACATCCAGGCCCTGTGACTCTCTGACCTGATTTCTGCCCTTTGGGCACTCTTCAATTCCTATTTTGTGTTCTCGTGATTTCTCCTGAGATAAATCTCTCCATCAGGCAGGATCCTACTTTGTACCCAAAGTGGTAGTTGGCACCTAGAAGTTGCCCAGTAAATAGATGCTGAGTAAATGAATGAATCACTTGTGTTTTCGATTCAGCCAAATCAAATCAGAGACTCTGCTCTCCGAGTTAGAGGATGTGCCATTTGAAAAGGGGCTATTAACTAACGTTGGGGAATGCTTTCTCCGAAACTTCCTAATTTATAGAGTCTTTTTAGAAAAAGGGGTCAGAGTGATTTCCAACTTCAGAGATTTTGCTGAGCATTCGAACATTTTGTCTGACTTGGGGCGTACAACATTTTGGCTTAACCAGCATCTGGACCTCTACCCTCTCAGCCTGAATAAACAGGCGGAGATAGAATCTGGGATCAAATGCAGCTGCTGCTTACAACTCCTCCGCTGCTCCCCGGCTCTTATGGCTCCACCTCCAAACGGTATGGCCCAGGGTCTCCTCTAGAGCTTCTCTAAACAAGTTCTATGGGATTCTAGACCCATTTTGTGAACAATTGCAGGGGTAGAATCTTTCATCTGCTTGAGTGGGACCTTCCTCATCATGCAGGGTGTGGCCCTGAGAAAACCCACCTGCAGCTGGCTCCTCAGTCAGGCTTAGATCCTTTCTCCTTCCAGATGTGATTCCTCTTCTATCTTGATATGAATCAGAAAATTGACATCCTCAGAGCAATTACAAGAGGCAGCCAACAAGACTCCCCCCCTGGTCAGACTAGTTATAGGAAATGGCCTCCTCCTTGAAGAGACCTGCCCTTTCTTGAAAGGTGTGGGTGCTTTTCTCCAGACTGGCCTAGGAGCCCCAAGCAGGTGGGTTCCTGTGCACTTTCTGTGGCGTGCCCTTTGCCCCATAGCACGGGCACCACAAAACCCCCCACATTTTCCGTCTTGGGGAGGTTGCACCTTGCCTCCAAGATGAAGTCTTAATGCTGGCATCAAATTGCATCCGAGCCAGGCCTCATTCCCATCTTCCTCTCTGCCCTCCCACCTTGCTGTGTGGCTTCCCTAGGCCGCGGGCATTATGTAAGCCTGTATCTGGGCCAAACCCCGCAGGTGTGAACTCCCTGATACGGGGCGGGATTTTGTCAGATGTCGCTGAAGAAACCAAATGCCAAAAAGGTGTTAATTTTGGCGTTAACTGTGTAGTTCATAACCCTGTGGACGGATAAATCATTACTCAAAGGACAGAATGGGGGGCGAGGGCAGAAAGAGAGGGAGGGAGGGAGGGAGGGAGCCGCACGTGGGGAGGCTCCAGAAAAAGACAAAACGGACAAAGAAAGAGGAAGAGGGCGGGTCACCGTAGAGGAAGGCAGGTATTCTCCGTGCAGACCTGAGGCCTGAGTCGGACTTCGGCTTCACTACCTGCCCAGTCCGAGCTCCGGGTCCCCCCGCGGGGCGCGCGCACACGCGCAGTCACGGGGGAAGTTAAGGGGTGCGCGGCTCCTGGGCCTGGGAAGATGCGGGGCGGCGCCGGGCAGCCGAGCCCGCTGGGCCCCGCGGGGGAGGGCGGGGGGCGGGGGGCGGGCCCGGCGTCCGCGGGGGCGGCTGGGCTCGGGCTCCGCTCCGCTCGGGCTCCGCGGGGCGGCTCGGCTCGGCGCGGCGCGGGATGGACGCGGACGCGCAGGGCTGCGTGGCCTCCTGGTGGGACATGGTGGTGCGGAACCTGCGGTGAGTGCTCGTCGCCCCCCGCCCGGCGCCCCAACCCCGGGGATGGGGATGGGCAGGGCGCCCGGGCCGCAGGCGGTGGCCTGGCCGGACCCTGGGGCTCGGGCTCGGGCTCGGGCTGGGGAGGCCTCCAAAGCTCTGCGAGCCCGGCCCTCTTTGGACCGCGTTATCCTTAGCCTCCAAGCCTCCCCCTGCAGCCGGCCTCTGCCTCTCTCTCCCCCCTCCCTCTCTCCCTCTCCCCCTCCTCCCTCTCTCCCTCTCCCCCTCCTCCCTCCCTCTCTCCCCCCTCTCTCCCCCCTCCCTCTCTCTCTCCCCCCTCCCTCTCTCCCTCTCTCTCTCTTCCTCTCCCTCCCTCTCTTCCTCTCTCCCCCCCTCCCTGTCTCTCTCCTCCCTCCCTCTCTCTCTCCCCCCTCTCCTCTCTCTCCCCCCCCCCCTCTCTCAGGTTTGATCTTTCAGGAGCTTACATTCCTTGGGGGCTTCTGAAATAGAGATTTCCAGAAAGATGGCTCATGTTGCCATGCCAGTCTCTTATCTGCCTTGACCATGTTACTAAAATTCAGGAGGGATTTTAAGAAGACCAATGATAGTGTCAATACTAACCTATCTTGTCCTCCTAAATGGCATCCTCTTAGGTCAAAGGCCTGTGGAGGTTGGAGAGGATCCTAAGGCCAGCCAGCTCCCCCAGGGTAAACTCTCTTGGATGTATTTAAAGAACATCTCTCCATAATGCTAAAAATGCACAGTGCATTGAAACCATACCTTTGCCAAGTTCCACATCCTTTGACTTTGAAATGTCTGTATCAGAGGGTTTTAAAACTTTCTTCCTCCTTTTTTTTTTTTTTTTTTGAAATAGACTTCATACCCAACACTGGGCTTGAACTCACGATGCCGAGATCAAGACTTGAGCTGAAATCAAGAGTCAGATACCTAACCCATTGAGCCACTCAGGCACCCCTCTTCCTCCTATTTTATTTTATTTTATTTTTCTTCCTCCTATTTTAAATCCTTGGCTTAAACAGTAATGTTAAACTACCTGAATTGACCAGCAATGCATTGCCAGTCTCTTTTGCATTGAAGGGAGGTATTGGTTAGAGACCAAGGACTCAGAAGACTCAGGTATCTTGTTTTGTTGGAGTGGGAAGGTATTGGCACTTTTGTTTATCTTTCTTCTTTATACTCCTATGGTTTGTTTCTTGTTGATTACAAAATATCCAAGAGTCACAGCCAGACACAGGAGGCTTCCCTTTGGAATGTCTGAATGATGAAGACAAAGAGCTCTCTTCTATTCCTTCTGTAGCTCAGGGCAGAGAGCAGACAGTAGCTTTCCCCTGGCCTGGCAGTGTAGACCCACACCCCCCTTCGGTGTTGGATCTGAACACAAGTCAGAATATCCTGACCAGCACCACTTTTTAGCTACACATTCATGGGCCTTAAAGCCTCCTTGATATGGTTATTCTGGGAAAGCTGGCATTTTTGGCTTTTATCTTTTGTGCTCTCTCTAGAGTTGGTGGCTGATTATTTAACATTTATCTGGCAGAGAATCAAAGCTGCAGTCCATGCTTTTAGAGAACAACCCACTTTGTCGATAATGGAATGGGACATGGGGAGTTGGGGGCCTCTCTTTCTTGCCTTACTAATTGACAAAAAATAAGTCTCAAGAGATGCTTCCTGAAAGAATAAAATACAAGCACGTTTCTTCAATCTGAACAGAGAATTACTGCTCTAATTTAAGAAATTAAATGCTGAGGCAGAAGCACAGACCCAGATCCAGCATCCTGAATCCTTTTGTTTCTTGGAACCAAGTTAGCTTAGGTCGTGAACATTCACGGAGGGCTGGCTGTGCCTCTGGAACTGCTAGCAACACGGGATCTATTGTGATGTGTTGTGTGACTCAAGGAGAACAATTAATTGAAAGATGTTTCCAGTGATTATTTTCTAATGCCTTGGGGATCTATTTATTTGTTTTGCAAAAATTTCATCAGCTCTAGTTGCTACTTAAGATAGATGAGCCCAGGAGAGCAAATCTTCACTTGCCACTGATTTTCTTCGAACTACAAAAAACAGAAAATGTGCTCAGGAAAGAAGCTGGGGGAAGCTGATGGGCTATTTTCCTCTTTGCTGCTTCCCATTCACCCCTAGTCTTTACATTTCTGGATGGTGTTAAAGACACCCCCATGAGTGGCCTGATAAGCTAATTCATTCTTTCCACAGTACAAGGCATCGCCTACCTTTTGGGGACTAGTTTAGGCCTGGGCATAAAGCCCTGCTCTCGTGGAGCTCACAATTAATTTTCAACTGTAATTCAAAAAAGAGAGTGACGCACTTCCCCTCTCCACCAAAGCTACCAGTAAGCATTGCTTCCTTCTCCCTTTTCTTCCACTTTTCAGTCCTGTGCTAGACAGGGTGCAGTATAAGAAGCACTGCATGCCACGTGATTCTTTTCGGTGGGAAGACAAGACTAATAGTGGGAAAACCACCAGAGAGCAAACCCTTGGTTTAAGGGTTAAACCAAGGCCCGATTATAATGAGTGGGAAGGGCAAAAAGAGAGGAAAAGTCCCTGTGGGAAGATCTGGGTAGAGAGGCTTCAACAAAGAAGAAATCCTTGAGTGGATGTGAAGGAAGGGGAGGATTTGGTTGGGAGGGAAGAAGGGAGGAGAAGGTACATGTTAAGTTAGGTGCCTGCTGATCAGTACACGTTGGCCAAATGAATGGGTACATAGGATGGATGTGTGGCTTGTCTCACTATTTGGAATAGCTGTCTTGCCAGATGGGGTTAGAGTTGGGCTTCCCATAGCTGGTGCTTCTGAGCATGAACGTGAATGATTTGCCCTGTAGCCACTCAGGTTCCAAGGTAAGAATGATCCAGTTAGGTTCCGTGGCCCCTGTGGAATGCTGTGCCGTTACAGCCACAGCTGATCAAAGGGCAGGCAAAAGAACACCAGAGCATCAAGGTGTCTGTTTGATGTAGTTGGCCGTTGGCAGGGATTGGGCTGAAATTGCATCCTCCACTCGAATAAGGTCTATTAGCCACTGGTGACTTTTGATCCCCTACTGATCTAGGAGAAGTCAAATTGACAAGCCCTAGTTAAAAGAAGCTGCTGTGCATTATTGATGCAACGAGGGATCTGGTCACTGTTCTCTTCCCGCAGTGCTTCCCACAGAAGTGCCTTGAGCTATTTGAGAGAAGGGTCCTATATGAATTATTCTTTAAAAACAGAAACATATTTCCCTCTACCGCCTCTGCTTCCCCAGCACCCTGCTACCTTCAAAAGATAACTTAGTGGGAGGTTAACAGGCAGGGTAGCGTGAGTTCAGAGTCAGGAGAAAGAAAGCCCATGCCAGCCAACTGGAAGGAAGCATAAGAATTCAGACTATGTTTAGTTCTGCCCATTTGGGCTTGATCTGGGGCTCAAAGTGGCTTCTCTAAGTTTTGATTTCTTATCTCTAAAATCAGAGCAACAGTGTCCTCTCCTTCCTAGCACCTTCATGGAGGCTATTTAAAAGTATTATGAAAAGATCATTTATATTATTTCCTTGCTAATTTTATGCGTAGGCAGTTACCTATGTCTGCTGTACTTGGAGAGCTACCCCTCACCCTTTCCCCATGTCTCTTTTCCATTCCCAGCAGAATTGCTAGAGATTCATTATCTTCTTCTCCCTTCATGCCTTTTTCAAATGTATAAGCACTCTGAGTTTTTAGTTATTAACACTTTTGGGAGGATTTTTCTTAGAGGTCTCTCTTTGATGACTTTAGAGTCAGAAGCCTCCTGAGAATACAGAACAGGAAGGAAGAAGAACGTGGGAGGAAGAAGGGACTGTGAGGAAGGCCAAAGGTGCAGAAGGGGAGAAGGGTGACCCTGAAACAACTTTCTCTAAGGGCTGAATTTTGCCAGAAGCCAGTCTTGTTCTCGGGGTTCATGTTTGCCTGCATGGATGGCAAGTTGCACTTACCAGGACCGTGACAGCTCACTGGAGATCTTCATAGAACTCTGGGGTCACACTGACCTGGGTACACACGACTCTGCCATTCATTGGCTCTGTGGCATGGGGCAGGTTACTTAAACTTCTCCGTCTCCTCCTTTGCAAAGTACATCCATCTTCTAAAATGCTCTGGTCTAGCAGAAATCAGGGCAGGGGAGACAGTTCATGCAAAATGCTCTCCTGTCCCACAAACTAATGATCTGATTATACCGAGCAGTCTTCACGCTGACAATTCAAAACAAGGGAAGGGATTTATTTAGTGGAGGACGTGGACAAAAACTGGAAGCAGGAAGTGGTGACACTGACTTCTTGTGTTCCTCATTTCTCAAAGGTAGGATATGTTCAACTCTCAGAGATGTGGCATAGAGACAGAAGTGGCATCAGTGACCCCTCACGGACATGTCATAACTTGTCTTCCGATGGCTCCTGGTCTGGGTGGTTTGTGTCCCAGGGAATAAATAGTAGAATAAACGAGATGTGCTTGGCCTGCTGCGTCCCATTCCCTGACCAGGCCCTAGCCCTGATGTAGCGACAATCTCCTGGTATGACCTTGTTCCCAACCCTGCTCCCTACAGTCTCTCTTACCAGAAATGTTGCATCAGAAGTGGACTTTTTTCTTTCATTGGCTCATTTCTTGCTAAGACCCAGCCAGAGGAGTGGGGATCTGATGGTTTTTCACTCACTGCTTTTGACAAATAATAGTACATACAGCACTAAATTGTGATGTGATTAAAATCTGTGGCAACTGTTAAATAGTCTGAATCCCAGCAGCCTGGGTGGCTCAGCAGTTTACCACTTGCCTTTGGCCCAGGGCATGATCCAGGATCGAGTCCCGCATCGGGCTCCCTGCATGGAGCCTGCTTCTTCCTCTGCCCGTGTCTCTGCCTCTCTCTCTCTCTGGATCTCTCATGAATAAATAAATAAAACCTTTAAAAAAATAGTCTGAATCCTGTTTCCTGATGACTTTGGGGTCCAGCCTTGGTCTTGTGTGGGTATGCACTGGGGGAACAGGCCTGACTCCTGTTCTGTCCTACCTGGGCTTGACATACCCGGGCTTTCCTCTCCTGTTCCCCCCTTAGTGTGCAATCCTGATCTGTCCTAATCGCATACAATTCTATAAAGGGTGTTGCTTAAGTGCCAAGTTACCTTTAATTCCCAGTGTTAGTCTCTGAAATTTTATTTGGATGCTAAGAGAAAGAACAAATGACAAAACTTGGACTGATTTGCCTTGTTTCACTCTATCTTGCAGATCTTTTCCACATTCCTGTTCAACGCTTGGAAGAAAAATTGCCTCTCTGTATCACAGCTTTACCAGTAAACCATTAAAAGAACACATTTTTCCACCTCTGATGAACATGCTAATATTTTTTAATTTTTGTAAGTACATATCTTTCATGAATTTGCCCATAAATATTTTCCCAAAGAAAGAACTCACTGCCCTTAAAGTTGCCTAAGTGACAATAAAAAAGGCATGTCAGCTATAAAATTGTGGCTAGACTTCAGTGGTCTGAAACCTATTTAACAGTGACTTTGGGGGCTCGTTCGAATCCCTGCGGACTGTGAGGGATGAATAGACCAACATGACTTTGTGGATGGGGTTTCACTGCTTGGTGTATTCTCTACTCTTTTGCTTTTTCTTTTTAGCTATATCCCTTGAAAGAGAGAAAATGAGGATTTGGGGGTGGGGAGAAGCTGATGTGAGGATTCTGTTTTCCCACATTTTTTCTACTGAGGGCTGTTAGTCAGTGTATCACCCAGTCCTAGCACACAGGTAATGCTTTCACCTGCTTGTCCCCAGGGGTTTGTTGATTCTGGACATTTCATGGTTTATGGCTAATGACTAGGTTTTATTTAGTGGAAAAAGTAACACTTGACATAGGTAGCAGAATAGTCATTACTTTCTTCTGTACCCTCTTATCTTTTTAGGGGAATGGTCTCCTTTGTTTTGGTGTGAGATAAGGACTGAGTAAAACTCTATGATGGTCTGTCACACTGGTGCTATTTTAAAATCGAGCTTTAGGGGGTTTTGTTGTTTTGTTTTTGTTTTGGCAACTTCCCTGTGGCCTAATCCTAGTTTATAAAATAAAATATTTTGCTAGGAATTTAGTGTAGTAGCTTGGAACTTAGAAACCATGGTAACCATGAGACTACTTTTTTTTTTTTAAAGATTTTATTTATTTATTTGGAGTTGGAGTTTTTTTTTAATTTATTTATTTGAGAGAAACAGAGAGAAGGAGAGAGCATAAGCAGGGGCAACAACAGAGGGGGTGGGAGAAGCAGGTTCCCTGCCAAGTAGGAAGCCTGATGTGGGGCTTGATCCCAAGACCCTGGGGATAATGGGATCATGACCTGAGCCGAAGGCAGATGCTTATCCAACTGAGCCACCCAGGTGCCTCTACTTTTTTTGATTGTGAATAAAAAACATGGAATTTGATTCTGGGAGTTGATAATGAATCTACTTTCTAGTCAAAGCACCATTCCTCGTGGATTTAAAGAAACCAGAGTTAAAGATTCCTCACACCGTGAACTTCTATATCAGAGTTGAACCTGGGGTGATTCTGGGAATCTGGTGAGTGCACTGATGGATACTGGGTTGCTTGATCCACATAGTTTTCATATTATAAGGGCAAGGGTGAGCAGTGCTGTGTTAGCTGCCTGTGGAGAGGTTGGGGTTTCTTGGAGTCACCTGGAAGCTGTTTCATATACCTTCCCTTTGTAATAATATTTGACTTGCTTGAAATTGCTTTTCAGTAATTTTACCTTGGAGTGTGAAGTCTTTTGGGTGTGGCCCTGTGCTTTGGGTCTTTTACCAGGCCTGACAGAGCTGGCCCTGCCCCACTCTTCTGCACACCTGGCACACCAAGCCACATACTCAGAGGATATGCTCTGTCTGAAACACTTCTATGTCTCTGCTCCCTCCTTTCTTTTTCTTTTTTTTTTTGAGAACATTTCTTCTTTTTTTAAAGATTTTATTTATTTATTCATGAGAAACACACAGAGAGAGGGGCAGAGACACAGGCAGAGGGAGAAGCAGGCTCCATGCAGGGAGCCCGACGTGGGACTTGATCCTGGGACTCCAGGATCATGCCCTGGGCCAAAGGCAGGCGCTAAACTGCTGAGCTACCCAGGGATCCCCTGCTCCCTCCTTTCTCCTTACTAACTGCCTTCTTATATTTTGGGCCTCAGTTTATTTTTTATTTTATTTTATTTTTTTTTTAATTTTTTTTTGATTTTTATTTATGATAGTCACACAGAGAGAGAGAGAGAGAGAGGCATAGACACAGGCAGAGGGAGAAGCAGGCTCCATGCACCGGGAGCCCGATGTGGGATTCGATCCCGGGTCTCCAGGATCGTGCCCTAGGCCAAAGGCAGGCGCCAAACCGCTGCGCCACCCAGGGATCCCTATTTTTTATTTTTAAGAAGATTTTATTTATTTATTAGAGAGGGAGAAACAGCACAAGCACAAGGAGCAGGAGACAGAGGAAGAGGGAGAAGCAGGCTTTCTACTGTGCAGGGAGCCCAACATGGGGGCTTGATCCTAGGACCCTAGGATCATGACCTGAGCCAAAGGCAGAGCTTAACCAAATGGGCCACCCAGGTGCCCCTGGGTCTCAGTTTGAATGGTAATTTGGTGATTTTCAGTGAAGCCCTTCCTCATCTCCCATTTTATATACAGCTAGTACCCATGTGCTTGTCCTTTATGGAATTTTCCCCACAATAGTTAAATAAATGTTTGTGTTATTGTTTGGTTAATGTTTGTGCCTTCTTTATAAGACTATAACTTTTGTAGGTGACTTTGTTGGTGGGTTTTCATTGCTTAGCACAGTGCTTGGCACAGCACAGAAAAGACAATTGTCAAAATCATGAACATTCTATTGTCTTTTTTGCTACGCTAATGTCAATAATGTCAATATTTTTTTTTTGCTGCCAATTTTCCAGTGTCCTGTGTTATATTTCCTCTCTCTGACTTTATTTTTTTTTTAGTTTTTTTAAAAGATTTTATTTATTTATTCATGAGAGACACACAGAGAGAGAGAGAGAGAGAGGCAGAGACACAGGCAGAAGGAGAAGCAGGCTCCATGCAGGGAGCCCGATGTGGGACTTGATCCCGGGTCTCCAGGATCACACCCTGGGCTGCAGGCGGCGCTAAACCGCTGTGCCACCAGGGCTGCCCTCTCTCTGACTTTAAACATGCAATCATATAATGTTTAGGAACCAATATAAATTCACATAACTTCTTCCTAATCCGCACAGTATATAGTTCAGTTAATAGTGTTGGAATTTTTTTTTAAGTTGGAGCTTTTTAAATTTTATTTTATTTATTTATTCATGAGAGAGAGAGAGAGAGAGAGAGAGAGAGAGAGGCAGAGAAATAGTGTTGGAATTTGAAAATCTTTTTATTCTTTGCTCTTGCTTTGGCTTATCTAATTGGCAGTGGTGCCAGTCCTCTCAGTACAGAGGCCTGGGAGTTTGATGTCAGACTTCTGCTCCTAACGGTTGAGAATACTGAAGATTTTTTATTATGTGGCCAGTTCCCCAAGTCCTCTTGTGACATGTCATATGGCAGTGTTTGTATCTTTAGAGTTCACTCAGTGTTTTAACAAGATGGCGGAACTAGAGCATGGGCACGTGTTTAAAACCACAAAGTCCCGGTTTCTTGAGCAGAATAGCTTCGTTTTATATTAAAGTTCTTCTTTTTGTATCTAAACTGGTCTCCCTTTAAATTTTTCCAACTTGTTTCTTCAGTCAAACCAATAACAGGTGGCACATACTAATTGTCTTTGACTTGTTTCCACCCAATGGATTGCATTTCAACAGAGTGTACCTAAGAACTGCAGTCTTAGAAGATTAGTAGATGTAGGAGTCAGAAGAACCAAAGCAGTAAATGGTTAAAATGGGTTGTTTCTGCACATGAGGGAGGTGGAGTAGAGAAGTAGTAGTTGTCACTGTAAGAGGTTTGTGATATTATATTTTAATTTTTCCTCTGTGCACCTATTAGAAATTTGTATTTGTAAACATGTAATGTATATTTATACATACATAAACCTATAAATCTATATCTTTCATTGACATAAGGGGGGTTTCAGACTTTGGCAAGGACAGCGAGTTCTCTCTGTACATGTTTGTTAAAATATTTTCTTGCTCTTTAGGCACACAGTTCCCAGCTGCCGGGGGAAAGATGCTAAGGGGAAGGACTGTGGCTGGTATGAAGCAGCCCTTCATGATGGCAATCCAATTATTGTTTATCTTCACGGCAGCGCGGAACACAGGTCAGTGCCTTTGCTTGGATTTTTTTTTTTTTTAAAGAGAGAGGAAGTATTTCAGCCCTGTGTGGAAATGAAACGCAGAGCTCCATTTTCAACTCTGTAAGCTATGCCTCCATGTATTTTCTTCCTTTGTTGAAATTTGAAGGTGTGCTGGCAATAGGCTTCTTTAAAAAAAAACTATATATTCTGCATGCAGACTAATGTAGATCTTTAACTAAAAGGGGGACTAACTTCCAAAATTTGGATATTGATTTCAAAGAAGTCATATCTTTGGGATATTTATTCCCAAGGAGTGTCTGAAATGATGAACTGAGCCTGTGGATGACTGGAAAGGGAAGAGGCATGAGATAGGGGAAAAGGAAGAGCAATTTCCTTATTGATGGTCTTCTCACAGAACTACATGGAGATTCCTTGGTTTAGCATGAATCCGATTAATCAAATATATGGATTCTCTATGAGAGATCATCTGGAATTCGGACCATCGGTACTGGGGACCATCGGACTGGTTCTGGTCTAGAATACTGATGCTGCAGCCACTCTGTTCTTCCAACCTTGCTTTGTAACAAAGAATGCCTCCCTGAAGTCCTGCTCCCCTTTGATGTGCTGCCAGAGCCTCCAGTGGGCCTGTCATTATGGTGGGTGATGATTATCAGCTGTGACTGGATAGCTTGCGGTGGGGGAGGGGCGATGAGCCTCCGAGAGCCACAGACCGAGCTCTGTCTCTGGAGGGACATTGCAAACTAAGTGATGAGCTCGGGAATCTGCCCCTTGGCTCCCTTTCCTATGTCTCTTTTCTTCACTGTCTTTTTCTGTCTTGATGGCTTTCTCAAGACTTGCCTTGGCACTAGGCAAAGGTGCCCATTTTAGAGCGACATTTACAGAGACTTCCCATGAAATTCAACATTTTTTGACACTGTTGAACATTGTTCTGATTGTGCAAACTTGGGCATGGTGTACGATGTGTGTATGTATTTAAAGGATCATTCGGCTCACCCATTCATGTCTGTCCCTCTTTGTGAATCTGCTGTTATCCCAGATTTACTGCTCTGGGGTTAGCCCCAGCTTCCTCCTGTCCTCTGCCAGAAGTCTCAGCTTGCTATCTGTAGTACTGAGCCAAAAGGAGGCCAAATGGGAGGTAATAGGAACCTTGTTGAAAACTGGTTCTAGACTTGGGACCCAGAGAAACCTGGAGGTCCATGAACTTCTTCCCCAAAATTGTGCTGAAAATTTCAGGTATGGATATATTTTTCTGGAAATGAATCCATAGCTCCATGACCCACTACAGTTTAAGACATTTGGCTCTAAATCAAAATTCAAATGGTTTTTAAAAGAATCCTCTGTATTTTGAATCATCCTTGTCTCTCTTTTATTAGTGTGGTTAATAGAGGGTAGATGGTATGGTTATTTTGGGAAAAAGCATTTCTTATACCTCCAGAGCTACAAGTCTCCTTCATTTCATCTTGTACTTAATGGCAGAGTGAACAGGGTACAGGCAGATTTCATTTAGTGAACATGACTGTATCATCCTTTGTTCTGAAAAGCCACTTTCTAGAACTGATTTTCCTTCAGCTTCTAAAAGTTTTCTTAGAGATAAGTTTTGCTGTGTAGCAGGGAAAGGAGATGGATTGTCAGTAATTCATTACATCTTCTGTTGAGAAGCACTAGCCATCTGGGCATCCAGTGCTCATGTAGAGGAACACAACAGCAGTGGGGAGCCATCCATCATTCACCCTGACACATCTAAGTGGGCTCTGACACCAAAAAACCATTTTCCTTTCTCCTAGTTATTTATTTCTCTAACCTGAAAAAGAAAGGCATGAGATCTGATGCCAGAGGCATGATAGTGATTTTTATTGGATTTGTCATTGTAATTCCTAATTCTTGCTCTTTTTTTTTTTTTTTTTAACTTCCACTACAGGGCAGCTCCTCACAGACTTGAGCTAGTCAAGGTATGTCTGAAGGGGCTTCAAGGTACCAATTTTACGTCTCTGCTTTTTCTCTTATGGGCTATAGCCATAGGTCTTCCTCAGCCCTGAGCACGGGCATCCACTGAGAGCTCCGGAAGGTGGGTTTGGTGTCTGGGACTCTAAGTCCCACACATGGATTTCTCTTCCTGCAGTGGCCACAGGGGATCAAAACAGAAGTGAACATCTCTGACTCCCAAAACACTTTCATGAATATATTGCCTTCATCACCGTATAAAGTTGAAGATCCCTTTTATCCGCTTTTTCTGAGGCCTGGGAGAAGGGTGGAGAGAGTATATTAAATGTGAAAATTGGGGATCCCTGGGTGGCTCAGTGGCTTAGCACCTGCCTTTGGCCCAGGGTGTGATCCTGAAGTCCCGGGATTGAGTCCCATGTCGTGCTCCCTGCATGGAGCCTGTGTCTCCCTCTGCCTGTGTCTCTGCCTCTCTCTCTCTCTGTGTCTCTCATGAATAGATAAATAAAATCTTAAAAAAATCCAAAAAAAAATCTTTAAAAAAAAAGTGAAAATTACTCCTGTGAGAAACAACCTTTTTTCTGTAGTAGAGGATAAATACATAGAATGTATGCTTTTAAAAGTCATTCAGGCTCTGGCTTCAGCCCCACAGGAAGTTTTGCAAGTGGGATGGCGGCAACACTGCTCTTCTCACCAGCCTGTTCCCCAACTGTAGCTTGTTGGGGTGGCCCCTGCATTTCCAAGTGTGAGGGAGACATGGCCATAGCTGACTCACAGCGGGTAGGGCAGCTGTTTATCTCCTCCCATATCCCGATTGGGTAATCTTTCCCTCAGGTGATCAGGCTTGTCCAATTTTTGACCAAGGACCTGCTATCTCTTCCCACTCACCAGCTCCTCCCTGAGAGCCGGTTCCTAGTGTAACAGCGTTAGTGGGGCCTGGCCTCCCAGGCCCAGTATGGCCAGCACCTCCTTCATCCCCCTTCCCTTATTCAGAGAAGGAAGCTCCTCTGCTGTCTACTCCTCCCTTTCTTCACTGGCTTCTCAGAGCTCTTGGGTGGTGGGCTGGATGCAGTTCTGCCTGGGATGATCATGTCTATTAATTTTTAGGTTTGCTTTCCACCCTGCACCTCACTTTCTGTACTTCGTACATGGAATGGTGGTGAAGGTGATGTCCATGAGAACATGTGTTTTTTCTTTCCTTTCCCACTCTCAGCAAAGCTGAATTATATATCCCCTGCGCGTACAGAAGGGAAGAGAGTTGTAGGTGTAGGTGTGTAAAGTGGCCAGGTCACCCTTGTGGTAACTGGGATGGGAGGGAGGGTGTGATAAGACTTCCTCCAGGCAGATTTTGGATTCCTTGTGCCATAGTCATCATCTCCTAGCCTGACCAGTCTTTGCTAGCCCTTGGTTCTCTTCTTTAGATGAGTGATTTCTTTCTTTTTTTTTTTTTTTTTAGTGATTTCCTTTAAAAATCGAATCTTTACTATTAAGTTGCCCTTTTCCTTTCTTCTTTCCTCCTTCCTCCACTTTCTCTCTCTCATTCGTTTCATTCATTCATCACATCAGTCATCCAATACAGCTGTTTTTGTTAATTCGGAATCTCACCTAATAGTCTTTATCTCTTTATATAAAGTTTTTAATGTTACTGTGATTAGATGTGTATGTAATTTCATGTTGTTGCTCTTTACCTAATATTACATTATAAACATTCTTCCATGTTTTCCCTAGTTATTATAATTACCTAATTTAAAAGGTGATCATTTTCCATTCTATTTGTAGACTATTGCTTATTAACTATTCCACTGTTGTTAGATTAAAATTTTTCCCCTTAAAAATCATTTAAATAGTGTTACTAGAGAAAACTTTAAGCATTTAGTTTCTTTTTTTTTTTTATTTTTTATTTTTTTTTTTTTTTAGAGATAAATTCTTAGGAGTGAGTTCTGTTCTTGAGTTGTTTTATCAAGTGGCCATACTGTCTACAGTATCACAGATAATGCATGAACATTGCCACTTCCTGGGATGCTTACATGCTCTGTGTCTTGGATAACTATTTTGGAGGCTGTGTAGCTGAGATAGACATTAAAAAGTCTCATTTCTTTCATCAATATTGGGTGAAAATATATTTAAGGATTCCTAGTGAGACTCAGCCACCCACATCTGTGCTGTGGTAGGGGTGGCACAGTGTTCAGACATAAACAGACCCAGGAGTGAATCTTTGTTCTGCCTCTAGCCATTTGGGGAACCACAAGCAAGTTACTCAAACCCTCAAGACTCTATTTCTTTACCTATAAAATGGGGATATTACCTACCTTTAGGGACTGTTGTGAGGATTAAGTCAAGTTTTAAAAGCATATGCACAGCAAATTTTTGTTCCCTTTTCTCTCTCTTCTATCATTGTAATTCACTTCATTTAAAATTATGTTTTTATGTTCCTTCCTCATTTATACACACAAGATGTGGCAGTGGTTTCATATAATTGAGTGATCTCTTTATTTTTGATTGATATTAACTCTTTATCTGTTCATATGTAATAGAAGTATCTTCCCATTATTTATCTTTAATACAACTCTGTGTAGACTTTCTGTTCTGAAGGGAATTCCTAAAATGGACATTTACTTTGTACCAAGATACTTCAATACTTTCATCTCATGTAATCGTCCAACAGTCCTGAAGGTAGTAGCTACCATTGCTCTTCATTTTTCAGAATACTGCTCACACATTCAGATGTTAAGTGGCTGGCTCAAGGTCATACTGAGGGTAAGGGGCGGAGCCAGGGCTTTGCCAGGCTGTCTGAGCCTGCTCTGCTGCCGCCTCCTTTCTTTCTCCTTGTGTCTGACCTTTTCATGTTCCAAGGCAAACAGCAGATTTTATCTATTCTCTGGCTAGGAAACCATCACAATGAGGATTATGGAAGTATTGAGGAGGTTAAACCACTTTTTCTAATTAAAATGATAATAGCTCCTTTGCCATCCAGGTGCTGAGTGATGGTGGCTTTCATGTCCTGTCTGTGGACTACAGAGGTATGTGTTAAGGATGGCATATAAAGATTTTTCAGTAAGCAGGAGAACTTTGGGTGGCCCTCATTTTGGAGGTAGTGAAACTCTGCTTGCCTTTCCTTGTTACTAGGGTTTGGGGATTCCACGGGTGAGCCCACAGAGGAGGGGCTGGCTTCAGATGCCGTCTGTGTCTATGAGTGGACCAAAGCAAGAAGTGGCACCACGCCTGTGTGTCTCTGGGGCCACTCTCTTGGTACAGGGTAAGTGGGGTCTGAAGATGGCTTCTTGGTGGTGGTGGGAGTCCTTGGGGCTTTACTGTCCTCAAAGGCAGCAGTGAGCAGAGGAGGAAACACTGAGCCAAGGGCCTGGGCTCTGGTTTCTCTCATATCCCACATGTGGCTAGAGACATCACCATCGCAGTATGCCTGTTTGTAATGCAAGGGAGGGTGTATCTCTGTGGTTGCCTATGACACTGAAGCCCATTCCAGAACTCTCCTTGAGAGTATTAAAGAGAAGGATTCTTAATTTAGGGCCAGGGGAATCCCTCGAAGTCCTATGCAAAATTTTATGTCTGTGTTCCTACCAGAGGGTCCAGAGTTTTCATCAGATGCTCATAGGGGATGTTGCATTTTGTACTATTTACTTGACTGTAATGTCACTGCTTCACATATGTACTAATTTTCGTTGCCTTACAGAGTTGCAACCAATGCTGCAAAAGTACTAGAAGAGAAAGGTACTATAAAATGCCTACATGTATAATATCTTGGCTTGGGGTGGGGAAGTAAAGATAGCCTACTGACTATTGTGCACACTCTGAACACAGAGACACCTAAAGCACCCTGACCTTAGACAGCCTCTGATAGTGTAATAAACTTCCTTTTCTTCTATTTAATAGGAAACAATAGTTGCTTTTCAAAGCCATGAAATTAAAAATAAATACTCAGGAAGAGTTAAAATTCCCTTTGAAAAAGCCCTTATTGGGACGCCTGGGTGGCTCAGCTGTTAAGTGTCTGGCTTCAGCCCAGGGCATGATCCTGGAGACACGGGATTGAGTCCCATGTTGGGCTCCCTGCATGGAGCCTGCTTCTCCCTCTGCCTGTGTCTCTGCCCCCACCCCTCTCTGTGTGTGTCTCATGAATAAATAAATTAAATCTTTAAATAAAAAAAAAGAAAAAGCCCTTATTGTGAAGTAAATGTTACTATGGAGTAATTTGGAGTACAGGAGAGGAAAAATTCCCTTATGAAGTAGCAAGCTGGACTTGCTGTCTGCAGCCTCTCTTCCATGACATTTATATCAGCGTTTCCCTGAGTGTTCTGAGAGCTGTCTCAGAATCCCTGGAGGTGCTTATCATAAACACAGGTTTCCTGGATCCTAGCTGTTTTCATGAATTAGAATTTAGAATTAGAATTTCGGTGAATACGACAAGGTGATTGTGATGTACATTAAAAGTTTGTCATCTCTAAAAAAAAAAAAAGTTTGTCATCTTTTGCATTATATCATAAACTTGTCAGTACCAGTCAGGTTGAGTTATGTGAACATTTTAAAGCAAGTCACCTGCTATACAGTGTTAATTAATTACGGAAATAAAGCAGGCATTATTATTTCCTGCTCCTCTAAGCTCTCATAACTCCCATGCACACTTTCTGCACAGTGTTGATGATGCTGTATTATCTGACCAAAATTCCCACATAAATGAACACTTCACTTCTTGGATAATACAGTGACCTTAGAATTAGAACACTTTAAGTCCATTTACATCCCCAATGTATGAACTCTTGCTATCATATATTTTAATTTTCTCTGTATCACACACTCCATAAACAATTATTATTCTTATATTATAAAATCAATATTTAGATTTACCCTTTCTTTGCTTTTTATTACTTCTAGCATTTCTGTGCTTCCATTTGGGATTTTTGTTCTGCCTATCTGTGGTAAAGAATTCCCTCAGTTTTAGCCTGAAAATATCTTTATTTTATCTTCTCTTTTTTTAAGATTTTATTTATTTATTCATGAGACACACACACACACACACACAGAGAGAGAGAGAGAGAGAGAGACAGAGAGAGGCAGAGACACAGGCAGAGGGAGAAGCAGGCTCCATGCAGGGAGCCCGAGGTGGGACTCGATCCCGGGTCTCTAGGATCACACCCTGGGCTGAAGGCGGTGCTAAACTGCTGAGCCACCCGGGCTGCCTCTATCTTCCTTTTTTGAAGGATATTTTCACTGGGCATAGAAATCTTGGTTGGCAGTTATTTTATTTCAACACTTTGAAAACAACATCCATTTTGTTCTGGCTTTCACTGTTCCATTGGGAAGTCAGCTTCCAAAATTCCTGCTGCTCTTTTGAAGATAATGCTTTTTCTTCTGGCTATTTTGAGATTTTTTTTTTTTTTTTTTGGTCTCTTTCATCATTTTTACTGTGATTTTCCTAGGTGTGGTTTTCCTAGTACTTATCCTGCATGAAGTTCATAGTGCCATAATGACTGTGGCTTGATAGTCATCCATTTTGGAAAATTGGTCATTATATCTTTAAATCTTATGCCTACCTCATTTTTAATTTTCTCACCCCCTGAGAGCTGTCTCAGAATCCCTGGGACTCTAATTATATGTATTTTTTTTAGATCTGTTCCTACATCCTGTATGTCTCCAATGTTCTTTCCTGGGTTTTCCAGACATTTTTCTCTTTGTACTTTAAATATATTTTGAAAAAAAAATAAATATATTTTGACATATTACACAGTTCACTATGTAATATCAAATTTTATTAAATAGTACAATTTTAACAAATATTTTACTATATTAGTTATTATATTAAAGTGCATACATGATTAACGCCAATATCTAGATCCTTTGTTGATCTATTTCTATTATCTGTTTTTTTGTATTTTTTGGCCTCTTTACTTTTTGTATGTCTAGTTATTTGTTATTAAACACTAGATACTGTTTATGGAAGTTGTAGAGATAATTTGAGGGGCTAGGGGTAATATTATCTTCTTCCAGACAAAAGTTACTTTTCTCCTGAATGACAGTTAAAATTGGGGGGATATCATCTTAATCCAATCAGAAACTGAGCTGATTTGAAGCTGGACTTCAGTTGTTTTTAGTTCACCATTACTCCCAGGGTGTAGTCTTTTGAAGTCACAAAAAGCCTGAGAAATTTGTTAGAGTCCTCTTTCTTGTCAGATTCTGGACTCTAAATTTTGTTCTTTTAGTCCTGTAGGAATTCTGAAAGTTCTGTCTAGTTCTAAGCCTCTAAGAGAGGCCACCACTGTTGCTTTCAAAGTTTCATCTGCTCTGAAGGGAAAAGCAGCTCAAACTCTTGTGGATTTTTTCTTTTGATATTGACTCTCAAAATCTCACTGATTTTGTAGCCTTCAGATGCCTCCAAGCATATGTATGTATACACAAATATGCATATAGTAGTCCTTCCTTATCCATGGGGGATATGTTCCCAGACCTATAGTGGATGCCTGAAACCACAGATAATATCAAACACTATGTATACTGTTTTTCCTATATGTATATAGCTATGATAAAGCTTAATTTATAAATTAGACATAGTAAGGGAATAATATAACATACTGAAAATAGAACAATTATAAAAATATACTATAATAAAAGTGATGTGATTGCGGTCCCTCTCTTAAGATACTGTACTATACACACAGTTATTCTTGTGGTGATGTGAGATGATGAGGGAATGATGTAGGAATCGTGATGTAGTGTTAGACTACTGCTGACCTTTTGGCAATATGACAGAAGCAGGATTATCTGCTTCTGGACTGCTTTTGACTGAAGGTAACTGAAACTGCAGATAAAGGGCAACTCCTGTGTACATATATAAACACATATCCCCATCTGACACACATTTTCTAATTGTTCTTTGAGGGAGTGCTAGCCAAAACAACCCAGTCAGCCTCTGGTACAGTCTTAATAATGGGCTACAGGACACTCTCCCTTCCTATAGTACTTTGCCTTCTCAATTGTCCAAGTCATGAAAACTTGTGTTTTAGAAAGTAGTGATTTTAACTATCATGAATATAGAAATCTCCTAGGGTGGGGATGCCTGCTAAAAATGCACATTCTCACTCTCCTCATCTCATTCTGAGATTCTGACTGATTCAAGTCTAGTGTGGAGTCTAGGAATTTGCGTTATTAACAAGCTTCACAAATAACTTTGGTGTAGGTAGTTCATGTACAAGACCTTGAGGACTCCTTATTTAGGAAAGATAGTATTTAAATATGATAGGAGAGTTATTTCTTTTTTATTGTTTTCAAGGATTCCCAGTTGATGCTATTATCCTAGAGGCTCCATTTACCAACATATGGGTTGCAAGTATCAATTATCCTTTGTTAAAGGTGAGTCTCTGATTCAGAAGATGTAAAAGTGTAGGCTCTTTCCACACACTTGTGCTTATTAATCATTTTCCTTTTCTTAATATTATATGTTTCTAAGTTATTCTAACCTGATACAGGTTATTAACCAGTTCTTATTGAAGAAGGGCACAATGGCTTTTAGATTTTGTAGTTCTTTTATTTTCTTCTAATAGGTTGAGAGTAGTGGCTTATTAAGAGTCACAACTTTTTCCCTCCTTTTCTATTAACTGTACCTTTTATCATGTAGTTTTTAAACATACTTGACTTTATTATTCTTCCTTTCTAAAGTGAAAACATGACTCTTATATATAGTTTTTAGCCCTATGATTGTCAGCCATATGTTTTTCATTTTTTTAAGATAAAAGTCTTTAGAGAATTTAAGGAAACTGCCAAATGGTTTTACACATCATCTCAAGTAGAGAAGACAATCTTTTTAAGAAGAAAAAGTTTAAAGAATTGGGCAACAAAATCTAGTTTTTTATCTGTTGTGTAGATTATCCTAATTTCATAATATCCTCGCATGCCTAATGCTCAACTGCTTATAATCATACTGCTGTACAAATATTAGCCAGTGAGCCAATGAGCCAGAGAAAGAGAAAGGATTCTCAGAAAGGATACAGGACCCGAAATTTTAAATTATTGATTAATGTTAGAAGGCATTTTAAGGGTACTTTAATCCAACTGCCTACTTTTGGAATCTTTTTTATAATAAATCATAGAACTTTCCAAATTTGTTAAATATTTTGGGAGAAGGTATTTCATTACTTCTGGGGACAGCAGTTCACAGAACCACATAATCTTGAAAATGTCAGTAAAATAAATTCCATCTCGATACAGGAATCCTCTGAACAATAGAAAAATACCAAATGCTGTGTAACTGGAGATACAATAAAACACTTTCATTTGGTTTTAGACAATTAAATATTCATTAAAAAATAACCACTAATTGAGCATCTATTATATCACTCTCAGTTATTACTAATAAATTCACTAACTTGTAGGTATAATTCAGATATAATCTTTCCATATACTTTTCTTTTTTGAAATTCTAATTTTGAAATTTAACATAATAGGAATTATATAATTTAACAAATAGTTATGAACTGAACATCCATGTAACTAACATTTAAGTCCAGAAATTAGCATCATTAGCCCCCCAGAAGTCTCCTGTGTCCCTTCCCAATCCAATTAGTCTCGCCTTAGTTGTAATACTTAGACTGAGTTTGTGGTAATCATATCCATGCTTTCCTTTATAGTATTACCATCTATGTGTGCATCTCTAAGCCATATAATTTTGTTTTTGAACTTTATATAATTAGTAAAATTATATAGGATGTATTCTATGTTTTTCAACCAACATCTATTTGTGGGATTTTATCCTAGAAGCATAATTATAGTTTGATCATTTTCATTGCTTTATAGTATTTCATTGTACAAATATACTACAATTTATTGACCTATTGTTTGTGGACATTTGAGTTGCTTTCTGTTTGTGGTAATTAATTATATTGCTATGAATATCTTTGAATATGTATTCTGCAAACACTGGAATATGCCCTAGAGTGGAATTGCTGGATACTAAGATATGCATGTTAAGCTTTAGTAATTAGAGTGCCACACATTTTTCCAAACTGGCTTTACCACTTTACTCTCCCACCTGTCGTGTATGAGGGTTCTAGTTGCTTCACATCCTTGCTATAATATGGATATCTCACTGTGGTTTTAATTTGTATTTCCCTTATGACTAATGAAGCTGGGCATTTTTTTCATGTTTGTTAGTCATTTAGATATTATCTCTTGTGAGATACTTGTTCATGTCTTTTGCTTATTTTTAAATTCTTTATTTGTAGTTTTTCATAGGATGATTCACTAGAAAACTATTTGTATTGCAAGTATATTCTCTTATTTTGCCTTTTTTGTTTCCTTAGTGATAGCTTATGATGAAGAGAGTTTCCTAAATTTAATGTGGACCAGTTTATCAATTTTTTTTATGGTTAATATTTTAAGGAAAAGTGTTCTGCTTAATACAACTCTGGGTATCAAAGAAGAAGGTATGAAGATACCCTTCTGTGTATCTTATAGAAATTGTTTTACCTTTTACACGTAGAGTTATAATCTACAGGTATGGGTTTTTGTATATGTAGGAGATAGAAGTCCATACAGATATCCAGGTGTAATACTAAACAAACCTTCCCTATCAACTCTGCAGTGCCAATGTTTGCATCTATCATGGCTTAATATATATGGATCTGTTGTAGACTCTCTCATTTCTCTCCTTTGTGTCCATTCTCATATGAATACCACATCACCTAATTAGTGTAGCTTTTTGTTTGTTTTTTGGCTTTTTTTTTTTTTTTTTTTTTTTTGAGGGGAGGAGAGGAGGAGAGAAAGAGTATCCCAAGCAGGCTCCTATCCACCATGGAGACCAATGCAGGTCTCGATCTCATGATCCTGAGATCATGACCTCAGTTGAAATCAAGAGTCAGACACTCCAACAAACTGAGCCACCCAGGTGCCCCTAATTACTGTAGTTTTATGTTTTTATAACTGGCTATGTAAGTTCTTCAGCGTTGATCTTCTTATTCAAGACTTATCTTGACTATTTTTGATCCTTTGTATTTTGATGTATATTTTGACATATACTTAGCAATTTCTATTAAAAATTTCCTAGGATTTTGATTGGAATTGCATTAGGTCTACATATAATTTGGGGGAATTGATACCTTTCTAATATTGAGTCTTCCAATTTATGAACATGGTATTTATAAGTTTATTTTGATAGATATTTTTCTTAATTTTTGTTTTAGGTCAGCTTCTCCTAGAAGCAGAACCCATAGCAGGGGTTTAATGTGCATGATTTATTGAGAGTGCTCTAAAGGCAAAACCTGCAAGGTCATATAAATGAGGGCTGTAGGATAGGGTTGGGGAAAGAGCAGAACAAGATGTGATTTCAGGTGAAGTGTAGCTTTAGCCTGATCCACATGGGACTCTAAGCTTGAGTCAATGGGGGTGGTTGTTTCTGTCATCCACAGGATTAGAGGACAGGTTGGGGGAGGGTGATATAACTTTCTGGGGCACTGCCTTTTGTTATCCAATGCTAAGGAGAAAGGAAATAGCCAACATTTACAGAAATAATTAATTTTATTAGTCTCTTCAAAGAACCAACTCAGACTTTGTTGATTATCTGTATTGAATGCTTTCTATTTTATTCTGGTCTTACCTTTATTATTCCCTTTCTTCTATTTTCTTTAGATTCAATTTATTATTTAAACAATTTCTAGAGATGGTACTTTGATAATTTATTTTCAGTGTTTCTTCCTTTCTAATATATGCATGAAGGCATACTCTACCAAAGCCACTCTTCAGATACATTCCACAGTTTTCAAGTGCATTTTATTTTTTTTAAAGTTTTTTTTTTTTTTTAAGATTTTATTTATTCATGAGAAACACGGCAGGGGCAGGGGGGAGGCAGAGACACAGGCAGAGGGAGAAGCTGGCTTCCTCCAAGGAGCCCGATGTGGGACTCGATCCCGGATCCCGGGATCATGCCCTGAGCCAAAGGCATAGATGCTCAATTGCTGAGCCACCCAGGCGTCCCTTCAAATGCATTTTAATTATAATTTAGTTCAAAACATTTTGTAATATTGCAACTTCTTTGACCTGTGGGTTATTTAAAAATGTATTTTGTAATTTCTGTACATTTGGGAATTTGTTTTCTCTTGACTTTTAGCTTAATTCTACCATGATCTGAGATTTCTCTCTATATGATTTCAGTTTTCAAAATTTGTTCAGACTTGTTTTATGTCCAAACATATGGTCAATTTTGGCATATGTTCCATATGCTTGGAAAGAATATGTTGTTTCTGGTGCAGTGTTCTATATATACCAGTTAGGTCAACATTATTAATTATGCTATTCAATTCTTCTATATTTTCACTTATTTTTTTTTGACTGCTTTACCATTATTCAAGGAAGAGGTACTTTAATACCTCACCATGATTGTGGAGTTGTTAATTTCTATTCTAGTTCTGTCAATTTTTGCTTTAGCTTTTTCAAGTATATGTTATTAGGAACAAACATCTAGTAATAATGTATTTTTATATCTTACATGTGAATTGATCCTTTTTTCATCATGAATATCCTTTTTGATTAATAATGCTTCTTAAAGTCAGTTTTGTCTGTGTCTGATATTAATAAATCTGTTTTGAATAGTGTTTGTATATTGTTTGCTATTCTTTGACTTTAAACTTTTCTGAACTCTTGTATTTCATGTATATCTGTCAACAGCAGATAGTAGGGTTTTGTTTTCTTTTCCAACAAGCTTTGTCTGTTAATTGTAGTAGTCCATTTAACTTAATGTAATTATATTTAGATTTATATCTATTTTCTTACTATGTTCTATTTATGTCATCTGTTTTTATTTGTGTTCTTTTGCCTCTACTTCTTGCTTACTCCTCACTTGCCAGATGTGTCTCAAGTAGAAGAGTGGTGTTGAGTGTCAGTTTCATCTCTCTGAGATTTCCTTCTCTCTGGGATCTAGACAACTCAAGGTGTCTTGGTAGGTCTCTGACGCCTTCACAAAAAGGTTCCTTAAATATTTTTTCAAGGTTTCCTAGTTGTCTTGGGCAAAAAGTTTGGTTTGTAATGATTCTACTATTATTATAAGTGGGGAATATTCCAATATTTTTAAGTTTGGAACTTAAAATGTCATGAAATCTTAGTTTAATAGGCACCTTTATGATTTAAAGTATGGAAGTCATTTATTATCATGCTATCTATAAGAGCTATAGCTCTGGTGTCAGACTTCCTGGGTTTGATTTTCAGGGCTGTCACTTAATAGCTGGATAACCTTGGACTAATTGGTTTTAATGCTCTAATTCCCTCATCTATAAAACAGGGGTAATAATATATTCCAGATTACTGTGATAATTAAATGAATATATGAAAAGCATCTATAATAGTGCCTGGAACAGAGTAAACACTGAATGACTATTAACTATTTTATCAGTGGAATGCTGTAAGTCTGAACATTACTGTTAAATAAGAAAGTGTAGGAGGCGTGAGACATACAAATAGAGTAAAAGGCATGGGTCCTTACTCTCAAGAAGCTTCCTGTCTATTTGGGGAGATAGGAAATTAATGGTGAATATAAAGAAATGGCAGGGATTTCCATATGTCACTTTGGAATCAATTTCATTATTCAAAATATGAAGGCATCATGACACAGGGAAAAAGAGAATGTGCTGTGGAGCCAGACAGATTTGGTTTCTGTCACTAACCCATTATGACCTTGGTAAGTTATTTTCCATCTCTGAGTTTTCCCATTTTTAAATAATGGGGTTGATATTGCCTACTACCTAAGGTTGTTTAGAAAGTTAAATCAAATAAGATAATCATTGCAAAGTACCCAGCTGCTAGTAGAGACTCAACAAATGTTTTGTTTTCCCTTTCCCCAGCTTTTCTATTGCTAAGTGGACTAAGTACTTTTTATTGCTAGGGTAGGACCCAGAACAGTAATATCAGGGTAGGAAGAATCAGGAATGAGAAGGGTCTCATGGGCAGGTATGGTCAGTAAAGACTTACAGAGAGATAGGATCTAAGCTCCTTTCTTGAAGATAAGGGAGAGCAGTTAGAAAACAGAGTGAAGGGCAAAGTGTGAGCCAAGGCATATGGCCGGAGTGGGGCAACTATGAGCTATAAAATACCTTAGAGTCCTATAAGGCTTTCATGAAAGATCTTGCACATTTGTCACCCTTTTAAATCCTCAAAACAACTGAGTTTTGCATTGTTGCCTCACTTAGAGCCAAGGGAAATGGTGGCTCAGAGGCTTGCCCAATCGTCACACACACCCTAGAAGAAGAAGAAATGGAATTCAATCCTACATCATCTAACTCTAGGCAGACAGACTGGAGGTATGCAGCCGCTGGAATGAAGGCTTGTGGTCAGATGTGGATGGGCTTGCAGCCAGGAGTTTCTTGAAGTAGCTTGTGTGGTACTGCCAAAGCTCTGTGACAGTACATGTCACATTAGTCTTTTAGGAATGTATTTGGTGGCATTCTGCAAGAGAGTGGTGGCAGGAAGACCAATTAGGGGCCCATCGCTGTGGTCTGGGCTGGAGGGGATGGTGACCTCTGAGTCTTAAGGTGCACCTCCAGCTGGGGAGGAATAATGGAAGTAGGTTGACTTGGGCCTGCTTTCTTCTTATTCCTTCGGAATTTGAGATGAATTGCTGAAGGGCTTCTCTTACTGAATTTTCCTCAGAGGAGTCCTGATTCCGGGGGTGGCAGGATCAGAAGACAAAGACAAAAGAAAACAAAGCAAGAAATCTTGCCCTTAAGTTATAGGTAAGAGAAGGGAAAAGGAAGACGCGGAAGGATAGGCAGTATTAGGATCTCCAGATTGCACCTGAATGCAAATCATTTGCCATGAGACTGTGCAAAAAAAAAAATGCAAGCCAGAAGAACTCCCATTGAAAACACGGAAGTTTCCCAGAAGCAGCAGGCCTAGGCCAAAATTGTGAAGCAGACGTTTGTTTTCACTGGACCCAGTCTACCTATTCTGTACCAATTTCCCTACAATGACATGAATTACTTTTTAAAATCAGGAAAACAATTTTTTTTAAGTTCATTAATGTTTAGAAAGACACTATTCTGTGTATTACAGTTCATAGTAGAAGACTGGAACAAATGAAGTATTATAGCAGCTGACTCTAATTTCTCCAGATCATAAAGGTGCAGTGAGACATATAAACTTAAAATTGCTTCTACAATGAATAGAATTCTTTCCTTTAAGCTGGCCCCAGCCTACCTGTGCTGTACCCAGTTCCTTTGGCCATGTCCCATGTATTATGTAGCAGTCTCCTCCCCACTCCACTCTCAGGCACAACAGAGGAATACATGTGATACTTTTCTGGTCTTTTCTCTTGGCAGATATATTCCAAAGAATAAAATCGGAATGAAATTCAAGTCACATTAAGATGAAAATGACAGATAATAGCATACAGTGTATGCCAGGGATATGTGCACAGTGCACATTCCATCTTCAGCAAGTATTTATTCTAGTGTCTGTTAGGTTCTAGGAACTTTCCTATGTTCTGGGAACACCACAGGGCCTGACTTCCTATGAAGTGTAATATCTTTACTGGGAAGACAGAAGATAAGTACACAATAAGCTGATTTTTAGGAGTGAGAAGTACTGTGAAGGCAGTGACCAGTGTGTGTGTGGGGGGGTTGGTTGGTAGGGAAAGCTGCCCTGAAGAACTATCATCTGAGCTAAGACTTGTGTGACAAGAGGCTGACATGGCAAAATCTGGAGGTTTTGAGCTGGAGGAAAGGAAAGGCAAGGGCCCTGAGGTGGGTTTGAGCCTGATATGTTCCAGGAGCAGAAGGCAGCAGGGCTTGAGGGTAGACAGCAGTGCATTTTGTGAGAGGACAGACAGGGCAACAGCCAGATTCTGTGTGGCCCTGAAAGCCTAAGGTGGTGAAAAAAAGGAAGAAAGAAACAAATCATACATAATCCCCACCATCCGCAGATGATCACTGTTAACATTTTGTTGTTTTTGCTTTCTATCTTTCTTTAAAATATAAATAGCACCACTAACTTTTTCTTCACACTTGTAAAGGAACAGTGATAGGCATAATCTAAAAATGCTTCTACAGTAAACATAATTTAACTGGTTTTGTTATAGAACAGAATATTCTGATTAGTCAAAAATTCTGATGCCAAACTATGGAAAGAGCCCAAATGTCCATCAGCTGATGAATGAATAAAGAAGAGGTGGTGTAAATATATACATATGGCTGAGTAATATTCCATTGTATATATATACCACCTCTTCCTCCCTTCCTGTACTTTCCAATTTCCCTTCAATGACGTGAGTTACTTTTAAAATCTTCAGTTTTGTTTTTAAAAAAGTTTATTATATGTAGAAAGTTGCTACTCTCTTCATTACTATAGTTCATGTAGGAAAACAACAAATGACATAGATACAGGCCATGTTTTAATTTTTTTCTTTTTTAAAAATAGATTTACCGGAAACTGCCAGGATTTTTACGCACACTTATGGATGCCCTGAGAAAAGACAAAATAGTCTTCCCTAATGATGAAAAGTAAGCTAACGATGAAAAGCTGTCCATCATTACTGTAGCTGGGGATTCTAGAGGGTAAGCAGTGACTGTAAGTCATCAGAGGGTCAAAGCAAGGCCCTGTCAGACATGCGCTATTAAGTCAGCAGAGTGGATCAGAGTAAAGAGCTGGAGCAATTAGTTCTCCAAGTCAGGCAAGCTGGACTTCAAGTTTGAGCATCCTTCACATATTTAGAAACAGATTTTATTAACTATCATGTGAATTACTGAATGGGTAGATTCTTAGATGGGTACTAAACTTTGGGGTAACATGTCCACAAATTTTTAGCATTTGGTATTTTCCTCCTGTCTAATTTGATGACTTCACTAATTCAGTACTTTCTCTGAAGTCATAAAAGGAGCTGTAGATTTAGGGTCTATCAGGACCTTTTAAAGGTACTCTGGAGTCTAGCCTAACATTCCTTGGGAATCCCTGACTTCTAGGCCTTTATTCCCCATGTAGCCAAAACCCACCCCTCATTCAGCCTATTGACCTAACAGTAAGTCCAAGGACCAGAATTTAGCAAGTCAGCCTCTTGCAGCTGGACAATTTAAGAGTGCCTCCAAATGGGTGGTTGTTATCAGTACTTTATGTTGACACACTGGAGGGCTCTAACCTTCTCAGGAGTAACAGTGAGTCACTGACAGGGTGGATGGGTATCAGAATTTAGGAAATATTGTTTGCGATAGCTGCCAGAATGTGGAACAAGTCTTCGTGCTGTAGGCTTTCTGAATTATCAAATTAGGAGGTTGATCAGGAAGGTGATTAAAACCTGTTAATCGAGTGTCCATCTGTACATTTATGGGGAAAAGTAAATACATTTTTATCAAGAGTTCTCTTTAGTCCTGTGGTAGTTCTTGTTATTTTTGAGTTGTTTTGTTTCTTTTGTACAGTCTTTTAATTAAAATATTCCAGATACTATGAAATAAGGATGAATAAGGAAAAAGATGAGGTTCTTTTAACTGCACAAATTCCATGTTTTTAGTATTTTTCATTATTTAAAAAAATAATATAGAAATAAATTTAATTAAGTACTTAATTAAATTGTATAAGAGAGATAATCTTGCCTAGAAGACAAAACAGTTACTATATGAAGTTTACTATGTAGAAGTTGTCATTTTTGAGGAGAGATCTCATATTTTGAGGCAAACCTCATGTTTTGCTAAAGCTTTAACTTAGAAGAAGAGAAATCTCAACATATAATTCTTAAACTGAATGCTTTTCTTCTATTTGTCCCTAGTGTTAAATGCCTGTCTTCTCCCCTTCTCATCATACATGGTGAGGATGACAACACGGTACCTTTGGAGTTTGGAAAAGAGGTAAACTAAGAGCTCAGGGCTCGCTGAGCATACTGTACTTACATCACCATTTTCTCATCTAGCCAGACTTCAATTAGAGCCTACAGGAGGGTCTTAGACATTATAAGGGATTCTCTACATCCCTAACTAGCCATGCTGCCTGGTGTTACAGTATGCATCAATGTTCTATGCTACTTAGCTTGAAGGAGTGTTTCTGGCAGATTCTGGTTCCTCATCTAAAAGTTTATTTGTGGATCTGCAAGTATAGGGAAGATCTCAGGCTGCTCTGGGACCCTCCCTGTAGTCTCTCTCATTGTGGCTCCAGAAATGGGATGCAGTTTCTTTTCTTTTAAACAAATAGAGTGGGTCCATTGCAGTTCTTATCCCCTTGTAGGGAGGGTGTTGGCAGAAGGATGAGGTTCCACCAGCATTCTGTGTTAGCTGTGGAGTTTCTAGTTCCTTAGCGTTAGAGGTAGCCAACCCCAGGATTGGGGGTAGAGTAGGGCTGGGGAGGGGCAGTGGAGAAGGGTCCCCTATCTCTGACCTAATGGGACTAACTCCCCAAGTTGCCTGTTTCTGTACACTTTTAGGAAAATTATTATTATTTTTAAAGATTTTATTTATTCACGAGAGATACAGAGAGAGAGGCAGAGACACAGACAGAGGGAGAAGCAAGCTCCTTGCAGAGAGCCCGATGTGGGACTTGATCCCTGGCTCCGGGATCACACTCTGAGCTGAAGGCAGATGGTCAACTGCTGAGCCACCCACGCGTCCCCCCTTTTAGGAAAATTAAACTAGAAAAACACCAGCTTTGATGGTCAGCCTTTGAGTATCTGCCTTTCTGTCCTGTGCAGCTCTATGAAATTGCACACAATGCATATAGGAACAAAGAGAGGGTCAAGATGGTGATCTTTCCTTCTGGTTTCCAGCACAACTTCCTCTGTAGAAACCCTACACTACTAAAAACTGTGAGGTAAGAGCTGCTTTGCTCAATGTGATTATCCTTCTCTTACAGGCAATTAGACACTGAGGGGGGCACTTGATGGGATGAGCACTGGGTGTTATGCTGTATGTTGGCAAATCGAACTCCAATAAAAAATATATATATACAAAAAAAAAAAAAAAAAGGCAATTAGGGCTGTTCTGGCTTACTTAGACCAGAAAGTGGAGAAAGCATGTGAGCTGATCTAGCTCCTTTTTTTGCAGAGATTTCCTGAGCAAGCAGTGGGCATGAGGTCTGACAGTAACGGAAATCTGCAGTGAAGACTTGGTCCAAACACCACCCATGATGCATATTTTTTATGTAAAATTGTACTGGGCTGCTTCGATGAGCTGGAGTCACTGACATTTCTACAAGTCACTTGCCATCTTAGTAAGGGAAAGCATGGATGTTGGGCATTATTGAAAGTTCTCATTTAGCTTATCATAGTCTACTTTGGAACAAATGGAAACCTCACTGTAGAGTATCAGAATTTAGTAAAATTTGGATCCCATTGAAAAATGTGTGGTTACCAAACATGCTAGGGACATTTGTGAATAAAGTCTTGGTTGGGTCTTAACAGTGTAAGAAAGGTGCACTAATGTAGTTAAGTAGTTTGTGTTTCAGTTAATTTAAATGGTATTGAAAAGTTCCAAGTATTTTCTAGCTTTTTGAATAGCACTGAAGAAAGTCCTAGCATGCTACTCAATCAGCCATCAAATAACGAGTTTTGGCACTCATGTAGCCCTTGTAAATTGACACTTTATTTTTAGCCCTAAATACAGTCACATACTTTCCCTCCCAATTCCCAGAAATTCTTAATTAGGTTATGAGCTGACAAAACAAAACAAAATCAAAGAATGTTGTAAAAGTGTTTAAATCCAGTAAGAATTTTTTTTTTTGTTATTGTTTTCTAGAGACATTTTACAACTTACTTTCCATTGGCTTTGTTCACCCCATTGCTAGATTCATTGGATAGGGAAATCTTGAGATCTGAAGGCTCCATGTTCCAGATGTCCCTGGCATATTCCTTAATTGTTCGGTCACTAGAGAACTTCCCTGCGGCAGCTATGTTTTTGAGTACCATTGTGTTCCAGGCCTTTGGATTCTGTAAACAACACATACACACATGGCCCATGGCCTGAGTGCCTGTTGAACTTTATGACGAACGCTAGGGCAAGCATATCCAAGCACATTTCATGGGGAGAATGAGAGGAGTAAGATGTAGTGAATCATAAATATATTTGTTTCACAGTTGAGAGCAAGATAGGTCAGGTCATGCTTTTCTCCTACTTAGAGTATATTTCTCTTAATAATGAAAAAATGGTATTTTTCATTTTAAGAGAAACCATGGATGTAAATCCCCTAATTTGTAATTGTTGCTATGGTTGCAATATTTTGGCATGCAAGCCTTATTTCCCATGCTTTACTTTTTATTTCACCTCCTTTTCAACGGGGTGGGGGGGAAGGAAGGGCTAACATTCATTGTCTGCTGGACGCTGTGTCAAGAGAGTTAACCTGTGGCTTACATCATATTTGAAAAGCACTGCTCTAGCATGGTGGCTATTGTGCAGGCAAATAATGTAATGGGACAGTTTATTGACCTACTTCTCTTTTCTTCTTCTTTCTGAAGGTAGATGCCCCAACTAACTGATTTACACTGAATCCCAAATACCCCATTGGGGTTTTAAAACAGGATCAATTAAAGCCTTATACTTAATAAAATATATAATATCTGAATTTTATAATTTTTATGTAAAAGAATATAAGAAACTATTTATTTTATAACTTCATGATTTTGTAAAGAACTTTAAAAGTTAATTAAAAATGACCAGAACAGGGGTACCTGGGTGACACAATCAGTTAAGTGTCTAACTCTTGGTTTGGGCTCATGTCATGATTTCAGGGTTGTGAGTTCGAGCCCCGCATCTGGCTCTGCGCTCAGCTCATAGTCTGCTGGAATTTCTCACTCCCTTTCCTTCTGTCCCTCTACCTGCCCCTTGCCCTGCTGTGCTCTCTCTCAAATAAATCCATAAATTTGAAAGAAAAAGACTAGAACATTACTAAAAGCTAAATGAGTAATATATGGGATCCCTGGGTGGCGCAGCGGTTTGGCGCCTGCCTTTGGCCCAGGGCGCGATCCTGGAGACCCAGGATCGAATCCCACGTCGGGCTCCCTGCATGGAGCCTGCTTCTCGCTCTGCCTGTGTCTCAGCCTCTCTCTCTCTCTGTGACTATCATGAATAAATAAATAAAATCTTTAAAAAAAATGAGTAATATATATTTTTTTAATAAAAGAAGTTTAATTTATAAGCATCTTAAGATAACTTGGTAAAAAACGAATGAGGCTCACAATTACAAAGATTTTGCTCATATGCAAACTGCCAGTCCATTTAAATTTGGCATAACTGATCTGGTTAATGTGGTAATTTTTTTTTAACATAATTTAGTTTGAAGGATGAATGATGTATTTATGCCCTTGACAAAGGGGATAAGTATGGTATTGTGATTAAGAAAATATATTTCAAAAAAATAAGCAATTATTTTTTAGCAATGCATTATAAACATTTAAAAGAAAAACCAAAACTATGATTATTCTATAAGGTATTGCAACACGGAATCTAAAACTAGTTTATTCAGACTTTGAAAATTTACTAAATAAGAGAAGAATAAAACTTCCTTTTCTTTACTTTCTTTAGCTATTTAAATGGATAATGAATAGGCTTCCCAATATGTTTCTAAACCTGACAATATGATAATTGTTATGAGTAAAAACTTCAGATTTGCCCTAATGAACAAGAAAGAATGAGCCAAATGCTGGGCTTTGAGATGGGCATCTCTGGATTTGGGCCATAACATTACCAAAAGGGATCTACTGTGGAAAACTGACATTCACATTTGTCCTTGCCCTTGTTCATATTTTCCTTTCCTGCTCTATTTATACTTCCTGTCCTCTGTAGACATTCCATACACAAGCAGGAGTTGAGATCAAGAGGAAAGAGGTAGAGTTGGCCATTTTCTTCATCTTTGAGTTCTTGGAAGCAAGTAGTGAGCCACTCAGCTTAACCTGGGTACTGCCCCTCCTTGCTGATGGTTATTAACTTGAGTTTACTCTGGGCTATACATTTTTCGGGGACTGGATATGATTCTACCAGAAGATAAGGTCTGTAAAGCAGCATGGGCCTTGACAGATCCCATTTTAAAACCCCTTTGGGACCTGTGGGATGACTATAGGAACTACCTGGTCACCTGTTTTGGGAAAGGGATAGAGAGAAATGTTAGTGAATCATGTTTTAGTTGGAAGTAGTTACTCATGTGTCCAAAGGGTGTGAAGATTTTATGGAACCCTGCTATTCTGCTGTAGAATGGCTTTTGAATTGGAGGGCAAAAATCGAGACTACTAGGGGCAAGGGCAATCATGCCCAGAAAGCTCAAGGTATCAACCTCAAGAAAACCACCTGGAGTCCTGGAACAGAACCAGCCTCCTTCTGTATCCTGTATCCATCCCGCTGTAGTGGCTGCAATTACTTAAAGTCTTTCTCATCAGAGATGGTCAACCTTTCCATATTTATTAGCATTTACTAAATGTTCCTGGAGGGCTGGGCTATTATTTAATGAAGATGCATAACCTTGCATGTGAAGGGTTACTCACATGGCTCTAGGTTTTTAAAAAAAAATTTTTTTATTTTTTAGTAAAGCACATTCTTTCTTGGTTCCTTTCTTTTCCTTAAGTTCAAATAAGAAAGTTCCCCTCTCTATGTACATCTATATTCTATATGTAGCCTTACTCTGGGTAGTTCAGGAAAGGCACTATTTTTGCAATTTTCATAGAATAGGGTCAGTCCTTATCCTAATTAACTGAGGCTCAGCCTGAGAATTATCTTAGCAAGTTTTCAAATATGATGGTGATCCTCCCTACTACCAGAATCTCTCAGAGAGGGGCTGGCATCTGTATTTTGGAGAAGCTGCTTTGGTGATTCTGATGTATGCTTTTGGTGAAGGACCCCAGCATAGTGCCTCCCACAGAGAACTCCCCAAAGCCTGTCAAATAAATGAGTAAGTAAAATGAATATTTAATTTGACTTTATAGCCTTAGCTTCCAGGGCATGCCTGCTACAGGGTAGGCACTCAATAAATACTGAATTGTGATTTTTTAAACTTGGATATTAAAAAATTTACAAATGCTACTTAGACGTCAAATCCCAGCCTCTTATCTGAATTTGGGAAAAGTCAAGTTTGATATGAATATCCTAGACAGTTGCCTCATTTCTCTTTTTGGATTAACGGGGCTCTGTTATTTAGATTTAATAAAAAGAAACAAAAATTTTAATTAACCGAAGTAAACTGGTTTCTTTTATAGGTCTCAGCAGTGTACTCACCATGTACAGCTGGCTGACTTTTTCTTGACACTTGACATAGGCTTCATAGTCTGCGAAGACTTTAAACCTGTATTTTATAATTGGAAGGAAAAAAACAAAACAACAAAAACTTCATTAAAATATGTGTGCTAAGATTCCACTTAAAATTCTCTTTTGCTTTTTTTATTTTTTTATTATTTTTTTTAAGATTTTATTTATTCATGAGAGACACAGAGAGAGCGAGAGGCAGAGATACAGGCAGAGGGAGAAGCAGAAGCAGGCTCCATGCAGGGAGCCCGATGCAGGACTTGATCCCGGGACTCCAGAATCACATCCCGGGGCTGAAGGCAGGCGCCAAACCGCTGAGCCACCCAGGGATCCCTTGCTTCTTTTTTTAAAAGACTTACTTATTTGAGAGAGAGAACATCGGCATGAGATGGAGGAGGGGCAGAGTGGGAGGCAGAGAGAGAGGGAAAGAGAATCCCAAGCAGACTCCATGCTGAGCATGGAGCCTGATGTGGGGCTCAATGTCATGACCCTGAGACCACGATCTGAGCCAAAACCAAGAGTCGGATACTTAACTAACTGAGCCACCCAGGGGGTGCACTCCCCCTCCCCCAAATTCTCTTTTGCTTAACATGAGGCATGACTGGTTTACCAAACTTAAATTTCTATTTACAAGAATTTTAACCATCCCTCAACCTTTATATGGTTCTTCCCACATGTAAGAATGTCAACATGTGGATTTATCTGAAAGCTGGGAATACCAGTGGAAAGAGAAAAATAATACCATATTTATGCGTCTTGTTCTTAACCTTCCTAGCATAGTTAGAATATCTAATTTTTCCTTCCACATGTAGGTTAAGCTTCTCAGATCACACATCTATGCTAGTTATACAGATGTGTTGTAGTTGGTTTAAGACGTTCTTATCCCCTTTTCATGGCCCAAATAGCACCATCTTCTTGGGGGAACTCACCTGTCATGATAAAATAGCATATTGATTAAATCTTTGAAGAGGTCAGGCTGCTTGGGAGAGAAGAAGCCATTGTCAATTTGATCAATGGCCAGCTTCAGCTCTGGAAGTGCTTCATAATATTCTTTTGCGTCATACCTGTGGGGGTGATAAGAAAAAGGTTCTGTTTTTGTGTGTGGTTAACAATACACTAGACAGGCACCTTCCAGGGAAAATGGCAGAGTAGGAGGACTCTAAGCTCGTCTCGT